TCATCTTGGTGATGGGGGGGACGTTTATGTCGTTGTAGAAGAGCATTTCCGGGCATTCGTCTTGCGCGGGAGTGGAGGATAATGGTTCGCTTGGGTATTGGGGTAGCTGCCTAAGCCCATCGGGCCAGGTGCTCACTACTATTTCATATGAGATGGCATCGTCTCGGTCCAAGCTATTAATTATATGTCAGTACCCAAGTACATATGTTGCCTGACCTGTGGTTTTAGAAAGCGCTTTAGAATTCAACGAGGAAATTACTGAACTACCTATGTATGACCGTCTATGTTGACCTTGATTCGTTGCAATACCTTGATTTTGGCCAGAGAGATTCCGATGATCCTACGTACCTAGGTAGGTACTCACCTACACCCATACATACCATTAGCCTACGTACTGCATGGACGATCGCATGGTTATGGTGTCTGGATGTATGGGGGAGGCACTATCGAAGCCACCCCTAGAAGCCTAGTAAGCCCTGAATCTCTGAAGTGGTGGGTGGAGGTTCATGCAAGACTTGCAGCTTTTGGAACAGAGCGTCGAGATGCCGCTTCTCAAGAAAGAAAGCATGAACAACTCCGTGGATGTATTGTATGATGTTGAATATCTCGAATATGTTCGCATTTGGTTGCGGTGGCTATTCGAAGCTGTATCGAAGCTGTATAGTCGCTGCAGCCGCTGTTAAGATGGACTCGAAGATACAGCCCTGGAGCTCTCTTTCAGTGGGAGTGGTTAGGTGCCAAGGCTCTTTTGCATGCTGATTGCGTGACTAGCGGGGTTCGAAGTCCCCCTGTGACTGGTATCACGGTGACTGGCAGCCTCTAAAGACAGCCTAAAAGACAAAGAGCTAGAGTGTATGCATACCTACATACCTACCTCCTAGGTACTGTAGCTAGAACTGCAGAGCTACGGAGTAGAGTACGTCATTGTGTTTACACAAATCAAGAATCAAGATAGTCCAACCAGTAGTCACAATACACCAAAAGTCGCACAGGGACACTGCATACCTACTAAATACCTGGTAAGTAGGTAGTTACTGGCTCTGTAGATGTAATCACCTACCTACCTACCTGCTTAGGTAGTATGTACGAATAGAACATCAGGACCCCTCACTTACCACAGGACAAGACTGAATCTCCGCACCTTCTTGATACACCATCATATACACCATCATGCCTCAGAGATTCAACATCAGCTTCAACCTGACCTAACATCTACTGAAACCATCCTGGTCCAACTTCGCTACCCGCCTCACGACGATACGCCACCTGTTATCGCTTACACTTGACGTACCACCTTGCTGGGTTGAGTGTTCTTGCGAACCTTAGCCTATGGTACCTTGAAAAAGGGGTTATCCTTGTGTCTTTGGCTTGATATAGCTATACAGCCATTATCATTCCAAGTCCTCTCGAGTCGTTTCGAGTATCTACTTTTCCTAGCCGCCATGGACTTCCAGACAGGCCACAATGATTCTCATGGTGGCGTTGTCATCTTCGATGACCATAGAGTAAGTTCAATGTCTTACTATACTATAACTCTATACTATAACTCCTCAAGCCTCTACCTCTAGACTCTAGCATTCGGAACATGTTCACACCGCTCCTATACAGCAAATATACTAGGCTGACAATGGCCATTCTATGATACAGCCCAAGAACTCATCTGCTCTTACTACGGTGTTATCCGCCTTTGTTCCCACATGGGTAAGTCTATGCTCAACGACCTGACCATCTCAGGCTAGTTTACTAAAACCATCTAGTTGACCAGTCTTGGGTTTATCATGATCTTCATTTTGATCCGGCAGAGGTTCCCCAATATCTATGCCCCTCGGACGTACATGGGGACGATCCCAGAGAGGTAAGGGCGCCCATCTAGCTCTACCAAGCACGTCGTTTCTGACCTGGCATCGTAGACATCGGACCCCTTCTTCCAGCCGAGCTTTTCTGGGCTGGCTTCGTTCCATGAGGAAGCTTCCGGACAAGTTCATCTTGTACCACCATCAGTGCCTCGATGCATATCTCTTCCTTCGGTTCTTGCGAACCGCCATCTTCATCTGCGTCGTAGGTTGCTGTTTCACCTGGCCAATCCTCATGCCAGTCAATGCTGCTGGCGGCGGCTCTGCAACCGACTTCGAGAAGACCGGCATAGGAAATGTTGTCAAAACTCGGTTCTTCTATGCGCACGCCGTCTTAGCTTGCGTGTTCTTTGGTTTCGTTCTGTTCACCGTCGCCCGTGAACGGCTGTGGCTTGTAGGTTTACGCCAGGCATGGTTCCTCTCAAAGCCAAATGCGGAGCGCCTGTCATCGCGTACGGTGCTCTTCCTCAGTGCCCCGAATGAAGCCCTGAGCGAGGCAAATATGAAGACCTATTTTGGCGACGCTGCGGTGCGCATTTGGCCGGTCACGAAGGCCGAGGAGCTCGAAGCTCTTGTTTCGGATCGTAATGAAAAGGTGGAGAAGCTCGAGGCTGCAGAAATGTCCTTGATCCGCAGAGCGAATCGTAGAGCACGGAGGTATCTCCGAAAGAATAGCCAGCAGAATGGAGCGGAGCCAAGTCGCGTTGACCTACCTAACGCTGCGATCAAATCGAGCAGACCGAAGCACTCTCTGAAAGTCTTAGGTATCGGTAAGAAGGTGGACGCTATCGAATGGCTCCGCGAGCAGGTCAAAAGTAAACAAGACGAGATCGAGGGTTTGAGGACATCGTACGACCCGGGTGATCCTCAAGGTGCCGCGGCCGTATTTGTTGAATTCAACACGCTTGCTGATGCTCAACGTGCGTGTCAGCAAGTCGCATCTGCCGATGTCCTAGCTTTGAACCCTCGGTATGTTGGCGTTACGCCAAACGAGGTGGTTTGGGACAATCTCACCATTCCCAACACCCGTAGAATATCTCAAGAGGGCATTGCTTCAGCTATTATCACTGCCACGATCGTGTTCTGGTCGATCCCAACCGGCTTCGTTGGCCTCGTCTCAAACATTGGTCGCCTTGCTGAAACCGTCGAGTGGCTGAGTTTCCTCAAAGGGCTCCCGAAGCCTATCATTGGCCTTCTTTCGGGCCTCCTGCCACCGCTAGCTCTGAGCACGTTGAGCTCACACGTACCGATCATATTCAGATGTAAGCACTGCGTCCATTTCCAAAATACACCATATCTGACGGTACCTAGACATATTCAAAACTTTCGGTAGTCCGACAACCACGGCCACCGAGCTCAAAGTCCAAAAGTGGTATTATGTCTTCCAGGTTGTACAAGTATTCCTCGTGACCACGGTGTTCTCTAGTGGCGCCGCCGTGGCCTCGGAGTTGCTTGAAAGAGCTCGGGATCCGACTTCAATCCCAGAGTTATTGGCAAAGCAGCTTCCTAGCGCTTCAAACTTCTACCTGACATACTTCATCATCCAAGGGACCACCTCAGCTGCAGATAACCTGTTGAATTACTCTGACCTGATTGAATACCTTCTCCTCGAGCGGTACGTGGACAGGACACCGCGCGAGAAGTTCAACCGTTACACTAGTATGAAAGGAATAGCATGGGGAAAGCTCTTTCCAAAGGTATGTCAGGCCCTCCACAGTGGCACGCTCGTGAAACCAATAGACAGTGACTAATTATCCCTATACAGTTTGCAAACTTTGCGATCATCGGTCAGTTATGCCGCTTGTCACTTGTGTTTCCCATTCTACAATCTAAATAGGACACACCTCACTAACGACACCTAGCAATCGCTTATTCCTGTATTGCACCGCTAGTCCTTGGCTTCGCTGCTGCTGGGTTGGCTCTGTACTATTTCTCGTACCGGTATAATCTCCTTTTCGTCATACAGCCTAAGATCGACACCAAAGGGCAAGCCTACATCCTCGCCCTCCAACATCTACTCACGGGTGTGTACATTGGCGAGTTGGCCTTAGTCGGCATATTCGCACTGAGGAAAGCTACTGGTCCCTTCGTCATTGTTGCAGCCTTTTTCGTTATGACTATCATCTTTAATGCATTGATGAACAAGTACCTTGCGCCGCTCGAAGAATTCTTGCCCACAGAGTTAGCCAGCGTGGCTGATGGAGACCATGAATCGACACCTCTACTCCGCTCCGCAGAAGTGGGGACACGAGCTGCATCCCCTATCCAGCGTCTAGGCCAGCACGCCCGCCTTCCACCGACGGTCTTGCGCCATGTTTTCAATCCCCTGGCTAGGTTCTTCGAACCACACATATTCGCGTCGTACCAGGCGATGCGATCCTGGATTGAGAACGGGGATTACGATGCCATTGTCCAGGACACGCCAGAGTATAAGGAAGAAGATCTAAAGAAGGCATACCTGAACCCCGCCCTCACGAGTCCCACCCCTGTCATCTGGCTGGCCAAGGATGAGTTTGACGTCAGCGGCATCGAGGTTCGGGAGAATGAAGAATGCGGGCTGAAGGCAAGCGATAAGGGTGCCTGGCTTCTCAGGAATGGTAACGTTCGGTGGAGAGGGGAGGACTTTACGGACGTGCCTGTTTGGAAGGAAAAGGTCAGGTATTAGTTGGAGGGTGAGATGGGGATGCCTCGATTCGAAGAAGCCCACATTGGCCATCAGGACTCTTAGTCAGTATCACTGAAAATAGTCGCAGGTGCATAGCCGGGCAACTACCTCGTGTCGGCTGTATGCGACACATTACAGAACAGAGCACAGGCTTGATACTCCCAATTATGCTATAGATGTTTATTGATGGTCATAGTGTACCATATAGCCTACAAAGCCTTTACCCATCAGATGTAGCTAATGTAGTTCAGGCGGTGACTAAAAAGAGACACTACCTAGGTATGTAGGTGGTTAAGGTGGACCGGACAGCTATAGCTACCCTATACTAACTACTGATAGGGGCTGAATTATGGGCCCGAAGAGGAACGGAGGAAAACAGGAGAGAGGCTAAGCCATCCCAGCAACCCATATCAGAGCTAACACTTGCCACGACGCACAAAAAAAAGAAAGAAATTCGCCTGTTCCGAAATCTTTGTCTCGTGCTGCCAATGTGAGGGTCGAACTCACGATCTTCCGATTTTCTCTGTGAGAAATTAACAGTCGGACGCCTTCACCACTGGGCCAATCGGCAATTGTTGATAAGCCAGCCTCCTATGGTGGACTATATTATGTCTACGAGGTACGTGTACCAGATTTTACTAGCTGCTCAAGCCCCGGTACACGTAAACAGGTAGACTTACCTAAGGTGCACGCTGGACTGCGACTACTGATATCCTTTCTTGCCGTTCAAATTGCGGGACATCCTCGGTCTCTTTTGTATATCCCGAAACTGCTCTCCCCTCGACCTGGTGAGGTACTGGCAAACTCTGTTCGTATTTCGTTCTGCTTATTTGCTTCATTGACCATCTTGATATCAGGATATACTTACGGTATGGTGGGTTATGCCTTCATTAGACATTTAGCCCACTATGGTCAGGCTCGTGGTCGATGTATTTCAGCATAGTAAACCACATGTCAAAGCCTATCTCCTACGCAAGCGGACTGTAAACACACTAGCCGCTGGAAAGCATGTAGACCTTTGAATGAAGTGATGAATAACACTATATCAGTAGACCCGGTGCTACCAAATATGCCCATGATTACAGACTTCTCTGAAGACAGATACATAACAATAACCATCAAGTAACATGAATCACATAGGGCTAAATGCTTTAGCACATATCTTCGGATGAACTATTAGGATGACATAGCTACACGACCTCTAAACTATGCCGCAAAATTGGAGCAGAAGAAGCGTTCCTTCGCAAACAACCATGTTCGGCAGGTGTGTTCTATTCTTATGTAAAAGTATCGCTCCGTGGGGTTTTGTTTGCGACTTGTAGGTGCATTTATGCGTTGTATTCAGGAACCATACATCCGATTAGCAATTTGTGTCACTGATAGCATACCATGGAGAGTATGACAACATACCATACAGGGCTTGACATGTCAGTCTATATGATGTCCATGAAGTCTCGAAGAAGTCACAGGTGTGTTGATAACTGCGTGCTTGTACATATTGACTGCTATTGATAAACCCAATACATGGCTTCCGGATTTCAAAAGAATGCACAGTATAAAGCCCCCCCCCCCCCCCCTTTTTTTTTTTTTTAAAAAAAAAAAAAAAAAAAAAAAGACAAGGAAACGGCTTATTCATATTTGCTATAAGGGCTTCCCATAGCGCCATGACCTGATGGATCATGCCCAGCATGAGAATTTCCCGCATCACAGGGTCACGCTTCATGAGGGCACCGAGAATACCAGGAACTTATATGATTCATGGTTCGGCATCAAGGTATGCGTCTGGTGACACTGAACCTGACGCTCTAAATCACGACCCCCGAAATCTTCATGGCTATATATTCTTTTCATATCCCTTCAGCCCTCTGGCATTGGTAATCCTTTATAGTATTCACCGCATGCCCACATGCTACCCTCTTCCGAAGCTTGGTTTACGCAGGACCTGATGGCCCAAATTTCAAGGGACCTATGTACCATCTGCACCTATTCCATAGCTCCGGTTTGCGGCGCATGCGTCATTCACTACCTAAATACGAACAGACTACCTAGGGCCGCCGGCCGAAATGCCAGAATGATAATCGATAATTGTCAAGCAGTGGCCGGAGACATTACGACGTTAACATATCTGGGATACACAGAGATCGTAGAAACACCGACAGTCAACGTTACCAAGAATGCATTCAAGGAGAGTAACATGGAACGAAATTTCTATCGTGGTGGCCAAATCCGATGTGAGCACGGAACCAGAGCTTTCCAAGCCTTTGACCACAACAATACTCTGGCCCAGATCGTTACATCCCTCACCAGGAACTTTCGGGGTGCTCTTAATAGCCGGCATAGGATAACACATAGTTACGCTGCCGTTACTGTTCCACAGGGATATAAAGAAGGAAATTTCTTTAACCCTTTAGTTTGCATGTTGGCTAAGATCCGCCCCTGAGACTTCTCCCAGGCGATTCATGTTAGTTTTGGTCCTATGAGTTGCTGTTGGATGCTTCCATTTTATGCAAGCTTATCGCATGAAGTAAGAGATACAAGAACATGGGATACTCGGTCCTGAGACATAGCGTCATGGATTAGGATAGGGTCTGGTTTTGTCTTCGTTTTGTTTTGGGGGTTGGCAGGGGGGCGGAACGATATAATTGCGTGGTGAGGGGGTTTGTTCTCTAAAGAGGGGAGAGCTCCCCCTTTCTTTTCCTTTGGGCTGTTTTCTGTGTTATTTCTTTGCTCACTGTTATGGGAGGTTAGACTAGAACTGTTGGGCCACCATGTTCCTAAAAGGGGTACATATTTTCAAGTCGAACTTAGGAATTCCTATAATGGTATCAGCATTTATTCGTACCGAAAGACGCTTGCTCTATCCTCGCGGCTATCACAAATGGTATTTATGTTGAGCTTTACGGCCTCGAAAAGGGTGTATATTTGACTGTTGCAGGTCTAGTATTACGGCTCTAGGCCGCTGTACAACGAGTGGGATTCGGGGCTTCGTTGCAATTGTAGGTTATAGGGACCAGTACGTTGCAAAAGCCAATCAGTGAATCTTCGTTGTTGTTGTTGTTTCTAGGAAAGCTAGAGCTAAGTGGGTGGTGGTATGGGATATAAGTAGGTATGTAGTAGGTAAGTGGCACCTGCCTATGGCATTACATCTAGGGCTTCATTCGAAGATAGGAGCTAGGATCTCTTCTATCCCCCACCCCCCCCCCCCCCCCCCCCCCCCTCTATATAGATTTATCCTCCAGGTCTGGCTTAGGGAACTCGTATCTAGCCAGACAACCAGACAATTATTAATTTCCACTGTGTGTCCCATGCTCTATACGATCAGCTCAAACGTCATATTGATGAAGTGGCTATCTAAATGTTTGCAGTCAAATTCAAAGTTATTCCACACAACCGAATTGAATTCACCTTAGTTGCATAGCACTAATGTGATCCTTACGTCATCCGGTCAATATACTTAAATCATAGTCTAGACAGTCTAGGAACTGGAGGCATTCACCAACAATCACCAACCAACGTTCGGAAAAAAAAAATACAATTATAATCATCCCAGCAGTGGAATCTGCGAGGGTTCCCTGAGCCATCCACATTTCCTGAAGATGGAGCATGACGGAGCAAATCGACTTGCGGTTGAATTGGAGCTACTCCAGGCCATGTATCCGGAAGCGATGAGCTTCTCCCTGAAGGCACGAGAAGTCAAATACGTGCATGCTCCCCTAACATCTGGAAAGTCCGCAGCAGCGGGCACGCTGCTCCTACGCCTACCAGATTTCTATCCAGACGAAGGTGTTCCGGAGGTGCTCTTGGCTAGTGGGGCGCAGAAGGAAGACCTCCGATCGCCTACCATGGAAGCGATTGCGAACTTGGGGTTACCGCCCGGGGAAGAAGTCCTGGACGCGATTATCCTAAGCTTCCAAGACCTTCTGAGTTCACGCACATCGCGGCTGGGTGGTGCGGGAGAGCATAGGACCGGAACTCTACCAGACCGGCGGCAGAGCGGGGAGGAAGAGTTTGATGACCAACATTTCAGGACGGTCGTTATATGGCTGCATCATCTCCTTAACACCAACAAACGCAAGTTAGCGCTTAACCCAATGATTATCGACCACCGAATCAACGGGATGACGAAACCAGGGTACCCAGGGGTGCTTGTCTTCTCAGGTCCTAAGTCTTCTGTCGACGCGCATGTGAGCGAGTTGAGGAACCAGCGTTGGCAAGCCTTTCAAGTTAGGTATGATAGCGAGGACGATGCGGAAGTGGGTAACAGGAACTGGTCCTTCAAGCATGAGACGGGGATCTGTGAGGTAGAATCGATGAGTGACCTCACGCAAGGTATATTATCAGCAGGACAGAGAGAGGCTTTTCTGAACGCCATTGGCGTTAGGTAACTAGTTTATACGGACTGCCCAATATGAGAGCGACACGGAAAGGGTGAAATGGATTGGTAGAGTTATGAGAACACTTGATGGGATACACTTGTGGACATAACGCCCATAGCGTTAGAATAGAAGATAATAGCCTAAGCCTTTTGAACCACTGTACAGGTAGAATTAGTCTTAGTTTATCGTGGTATGCAATATTGGAGATCCATGGAATGATATAATCAAGCATCGCTTATTCCGCTCTATTTATTAAAGGTAACACATACATCTCTACCATAACTCGTAGTGACCTTCAAATCTGCCTAACCCTTGTAATATGGACCTGGGTCCGGGGACAAGTATACTGAGGCTGCTTCAATGATAAATAACAACGAAAGCCAATACGCACGGGTTATATAACGGATCCGCTCAGCTCCCTGAGCCCCTTTTCTACCTAAGGTCGCATATACATACGGACAGATCTGTTGGCAGTATATTGGATTTTTCATATGGTATAGGGCCAATCAGAGAGCAATCAAAAAGCCGTACGCGTGTTGTTACGGTTTCCTATGATGTCCAATTACTGATCACTGATTCTATCATTTAATGAGATTACCAGCCATATCGCCGTTCTGTAATCTCACGATTCTTGCCATCTCACCACGAGCTCGTCGTGCTTACAATCATGCTTCTCAATTGATTCTTTTCTTTAATACGACCATTGTTATATGCGAACAACTTGATGGAATCGAAAGTATCGTAGACAGACATACCGGGTTTGACACTCACCCTGTAGCGACAGCGATGAAGACCGATGTAGTAGACGCGGGCACTAGTATCTAGACCAGCTACATCATAGCACGATGGCTTGTCGTTATTATAAACTTAAAAAAGCGACATCATTCTACCCATATGTACTGACGCATTCCTTGTAGCTAGTATCCTGAGCTTCGGACCGGTTCTTGGACGCATCTTCTGGCGCTGTTTCCACCACGAACGGCCCCGGAAGAGGGGCTGTATCACCAAGAAACGTAATAAGTTGGTAAAGACAATCACCAGAGAGCCTTTGACGAAAAACACAAGATCGAAGCCAACCAACTATCACGGAGCCAAACGTTAAGGTGCAAGAGGCAGGCGCTTTTCGTACTCTTGCCTAATAGCGAACTAGTATAAAGAAGACTTATGTGCTTTGCTTGTAACAGGTTTGAAGCGC